CAGGACCGACAAGGAAACTGGGGCTCTGGCAGCTAAGCAACACGACTGTCAGTGATGGAGCGGGGGGCCCCCTCAGAAAACTCCTAAGCAGCCCAAGGCTCACTGAAGTCCTGCTGACTCTAAAGCCCAGGCTGCGCTCGTTCTTGGGCTCTACCTTAGAACACACCTGATTTCCTGCCTCCAGCCTTTATTCACATGCCCCTGCCATGAGCGTGCCCTTCCCACGCCTCACACCTGCAGGGCCTAGCCCTTCCAGCCCAGCTCACACACCCTCTCCTCTAGCAAGGATCCCGGCGCTCCACCCGACGCCATCTCCCAGCCCAGCGCCATAAGCGCACCTCCATCCGCAGTACCTCCCACGCCCTCCGCATTCCCCTGCGACTTCATGATCTGTGTCCGGGTTTCATGTCCTCAGTAGCTGGGAACTTCTCCAGGGCGGGGACCTGGCCCAGGGTTTCTACTCTACTGTACTCTCCAGATGTTTGTGGAATGATTTAATAATAACGATAATGATAACAGAAGCTAATGCTTACTGAGCACAAACCACGTGTGAGACGCAGCTCTCAAAGCTTTGCATGTATGAAAGCATTCATTTTATCCTCACTGTAGCCCTAGGAATAGGGACGATCAGGCAGCCTCCTGAAGAGGGGAGAACATGGAAGCCCAGAGAGGTGAAGTGACTAGTTGAGGGTCACACAGCTGGAAGAACTGGCCTTTGCATTGAAGTGGTCTGAATCCCAGGCACTCTGCTATACTGACTCCCACCAACAAGCAACCAACAGAGGCTCACAACCATCTCTGCCTCCTTGGAAGGCCAAGACCGCAGACCATCCTCCTCCTGGGTGTCCAGCACTTTAACATGCATTGTCTTAGTGAGCGACATGTACTGAGCCTTCCAACTGGGGCTTAGCTCCCAGATTGACAGGTGAGAAAATGGCCTCAGAGAGGCCCAGTGACCTGCCCAAAGCCCTACAGCTGGCTCAAGGCAGGGCAGGTCTCTTTCAAAGCCTACGCTTTGCCATATTCATAAACATGAGGCTGATGGCGGCAGGTCTGGGAGTGCAACTGGGGCAGCCCCAGCTCACCCAGGCTGCCCAGGGTCCCGTGAGCTGTGGGACAGGAGAGCTGGGGCCAGGCCGCCCTCTCCCACATGTGGCTTCAAGATGCCGTCAGCATAACAACCAGCAAGCAGACGCAGATGTCGTGAGCACATCCCTCTTCCCAGCAGATCAGACAGGGCCAGGCTGAGAAGACCTTTCTCCCTGGGCTTAGAAGGCCCCTCTGAGGCCACAGCTTATGGGAGCAGCTGGCTAGAGGCCCTCCTCAGGCCCTGCATCTCATGGCCGCATCCTGGGCCTGCCTACTCGCCTGCTTGCCCACCGCCTGGAGGCTCCCCTCCCAGCACCCAGTCTGCGCCAGGGATTAGGGCCGAGACTGGCTATTCTGACCCCATCCTCCTGCCAGGGTATAAATAACTTTGGCTCAGGAGTGGAGCACACATCACCCACGACCTGCCCCGACCGAGGATGTGACCCACTTGCTAAGCATTCTTTGGGAGGCAGCAAGCCCAGCCCCAGAACACCCCAGCTCCTCCCTCGGTGTGCACTGCAGACTGGGGCCCACCACTCCATTTCCTTGTGTGAAGAGAAGACTACACCAGATTAGCTCTTTGTCTTCCCAGCTCCGTTCACACCCATGCAACCCACCCAGAACTGTGTCCACCTCCCCCAGCCCACACAGGACCCCACCCTGTGGCCCCTCTTCTGCAGAGTTTGCTTTCAAACTCTGACAACCCCACAGTCATGCTAGGGTGGAATGGACACCCCTCCCATTGGAAAGATGGGCAAACTGGGCACGAGGTGGTGGTGCAGGGGTGATGCAGCTGGACCATACAGAAAAGGTCCTGGGCTCGCATCCTGGGACCTGCCTGAACACACCGGCACACACGTGCTCATGATCCGGGTGACGCTGGGGATGGATTGCGGCATGGAGACTTTTACAGGGGTAGCTCTCTCCCTCTCTCCCTTTCTCCTTGAAGAAATATATAAATGCACTTTAAATGAAAAGATAGTCAAGCTGAGGCCGAGGGCTGCTCAGGGTTTGCTCTATGGAAGCCTGGAAAATAGAGAGGTCCACAAACCCCATCAGCATTCACGCGCCTTCTGAAAAAAGAGTGATCTTGCCTCTAAAAAAGAGTGGTCTCCCCAGCCCTCACATGCAAACAGGAGGGAGGCCTCTGAGATCCCAGTGACAGGCGATTCAAGTAGCCAGGCTTTGGCTCCCAGTCACTGGGGCTGAGTCAGTGGACACAGCAAGCAAATGCTGGACTGTTTGCAGCTGGGCTGTGGTGGACCCCCAGCAGAGCCTTTGCTGCCCAGACTGCCCAGGCCTGGGAACAATCTGGCTCGTGTGGCTCTAGGAATCCCCATCACCCAGCCCTCCTGCTGCCCCTCTGTCCTGGGGGTGCTCAGATGGGAGGGCCCCATCCCAGGCCTTACCACCCTGGACTCCCATCAAGCCCGCTGGAGGGTCAGGTGAGGTCCACCTGGGCCCCACCTGGGTAGCACTGGCCAGGGACCACTTACCCGGCTGCCTTTGGGCCCAGGATCTCCTACGGGTCCAGGTAACCCCTGAAACACAAAAGAGAGGGGCAAGGACATATGGAGACATTCCACCTGCTGACAATGGCTGGGAGAGGCTTATCTCCTCAGGGCCCTGAAGCTGCCACCGTAGAATCAGGACAGGAATCAGGACAGGATCGAGGAGGCCCTCAGAGGGGAAGATGAGTGGGAGGAGCCTCTAGGGCCCCACCCCCACAAAGTCAGAGAACCCTGTCCTGCTGCCTGCAAAAGAGACGATTCCATAGTCCACCCTCCCTGGGCAGCCCTTTCCTTCAGGCCCACCCAGCAGGTGTGGCTCCTGGGCCCCCAGCCCATCACCTCCCTCTGCCTGGGGACACCTGTGGCCATCTCACACCACTGTGGCCACAGAGCTTCCAGAAGCCATATACTGCACCTGCCTGCCAGGGTAACCTTTGGCCCCTGGGCTGCCCTCGGGTCCTGGCTGCCCCTGTAAAGGAACAGAGAGAAACATAAGGAGAGTGGAGACCCTACCCAGCTCCAGTCTGGGGGCTCTGGGGGCTGGGGCTAACAATGGACAAAGAGAGGTGCAGGAATGTGAGCTGTAACAGGAGGAAAAAGAAGCCTGAGGGCCCCCAAGCCCACCCCTCTGAGAAACCGGTCCAACAGGCCTGGTGCAGGCCTGGTGCCACAAAACCCCTTCTACTTGCCGCTGGAATAAGAAAGCACTGAGGCGGCCTGGCTGGCTCTCTCCTGCTGGCAGGGTTGCTGTTTGGCTTGGGCCAGGGTGGCCAAAATTCCTGCAAACCCCGGCGGGCAGCGTGTATAATATCCCCTAACATCGCCAGAAACAGGCCAGCTATTCAGGGCTCTAGGCTGGGCTCAGCGGACCACACTGGGCAGCACAGACTCAGGCTCCTTCAGGCAAAGGTGGTGGGGGAAAGGCAGGGCGGGGCACACTGGGGCCTCCAGCAGGATGGGAGGCAGATCAGCCCAGCTCGAAGGCTTGTCCAGGAGCTGGAGTCAGGGCCAGAGACAGGCAGGGCGCAAGAAGGAAGAGCAAGCAGGGCCCACGAGGCCTCACCTGTTCTCCGGGATGCCCTGCCGGTCCAGGATAGCCCTTGTATCCCTGTGTGGGGAAGAAAGTGCATCAGGCAGGGAGGACACACCTGGGCCTGCGTTTCAGCGCTCAGGTGCCCAGCCTCCTTCCTGCCTGCAGTGCGTGCTCAGTAAACACTCGCCAAAAAGATGTGGATACTACGTGATAGGTAGTACAGTCCTGTGGTTTCCCTCCACAAGTGGTTCTTAGACCAAAATTCCTCAGTCTGCTCCTTCGGCAAGGTTTGTGGGTGGATCCGAGATAGAGAGACTATGGCCCAGTGATGCCACTCCACAACCCTTCTTTCTGAATCCAGGGAGACAGTGAGAACCTCAGAACAGGATAGACTAGAACCCAAGGTCGGGGATATGCTCAACCACCACAGGATGCTGGGGTTCCCTCCCCTGTAGGGACCCACCTTGTCTCCTAAAGCCCCAATCAAAAAAGATCTCACATACACTAACCATATGTGTTAACCAAAATAACTGCCATCATCCTCCCCTGGTCCCCGCTCCTACTCCAGGGAGAAAGGGTCCACCCATGACCTGGCTGAGGACGACTCTGGCCACTTCCACTCACCACCACAACCTTCTGACACATGAGGCCACACGAGAGCCTTGCAAACATCCCCAGGCCCTGTACCAACTGCACCCTCTGTCTCAATGACCCAGTGATATGGTCTAAGGCATCTCCAAGTCCCTAGGTCAAGAGAGATGAGCTGAGTATGCTCTTGGTGGCGCGGGGTTGACCGCCTGAGCCATTTCATAAGTTAGGAGGTCTCTGAGAAAAATCTGACTTGGGGTGTCCATCAGTTTAAGGTTGCCGTGAGAGTCAAACCAGGCAAAGGGCTTCTGTTTCAGACAGGATAACCACATTGGTCCCCATTGGACCCCCTTACACAAGAACTCCGGGCTTGGTTTCGACGCTGTCCCTGACTTACTGTGCAACTTTGGGTGAGTTACTACCCTTCTCTGGACTGCAGATGGGGAAGTTAGAACTCTGAGTCCTCTCTATCTCTGATGTTTTAGAGCCCCAGAATTCTAAGGCTCTCCCAGAGCCTAATTCACACATAAGACTCGACATAGACGACAGGGCTCTGGGCCCTTTTATATACTAGTGTTTATCTGGGACTCCACGGGCAGTGTATGACCTCACCTAGCCACTTCAACAGCACAACCTCCAATTTACTTGGGAGAAAACTGAGTCTCAGAGAACTGAAGCCACCTGCTCCAAGACCCATCGCTTGAGAAGCAGCAGACTTCCACTCACCACCACAACCTTCTGACACGTGAGGCCACACGAGAGCCTTGCAGACATCCCCAGGCGTGTATAAGCTCCATGTCCGTACAGAAACTTACACAGGCACACACACTTAGCACCACCCACAACCCCTGCCCCCGGATAGTGGAGGCTCCTGAGTATAAACAACAGAGTTGGTTTGATTCAAGAGGTCTGGGGAGTTTACAAGAATTCCTTCCACACCTACTCATGCCTCAAAACCACTCAGAGATACGATCGCATCTCAGATCTGGGTGCCTGTGGAGACTGATGCAACATGGCCGAATCAGATTCTTCTACCCCGGTGTGTGCTATTTTCCTCAGTAGGAGAACTGAGAGGCACAGACTGACCAGTGACCAGCATGCACAGTGGTTAAGATCTCAGGTTTCAGATGGACAATTGGACACTCGCTTCACCTCTCTGATCTTTGCTTTCCACAGATGTAAATAGGTGATATAAAACACTTAGCACAATATCTGGATGGAATTCAAAGATCCTGTAAAGATCAGCCTGCTGTCATCACCATAATCTTTATTTTTCATTCATTCATTCATTCATTCATTTCATTTCATTCGTTCAACAAGCACTTAAGGGGTTTACATGATCAGCCTTGCTCCAGACACAGGAAAAGTGAGACAGACAATTGCATTTGCCTTAATGGCATTTACATTCTAGTGAAGGAGCAGTAAAAAAAAAAAAAAACACACACACACAAAATAAATGTAAAAGATAAGGAACAGCAGGTGGGCAGCAGAGGGAAGGAGGGCTGTTGTTTAATGGGTATAGTTTCAGTTTGGCAAGGCAAAAAATATGCCGAGATTACTTGCTCGACAGTGAATATCCTTAACGCTACTGACCTGAACAGGTAAAAATGCGTAAGATGGCAAATTTGATTATTACGGTTTTTGTTTTCTTCTAACCACAATAAGAAATACTTTTTTGTGTGTGTGGGAGGGGCGGATATTTTTGCTATAGGGTGCATGGTCTTGCCAGAGAGACAGAAAATGAGAAATCACCCCCCACCCCCGGGAGGATGACCATGCTGTACTCCCTTCTCCTCCATTCTCCTCTCAGGATTCTGGGTATGCACACGCGCTCGGTGTGAGTTTCAAGCTTCTGGGTCCAGAACTCAAACCATAGTCAACTACATGGGAGTCCAGCGACATAACCATTACGTCATCTGCTGGTCCCAAGAAATACTATTTTAAACAGAGAGATGTAATGCCTGGTAGTGACCAGAGGTCTGAAGAAGAGTAGGCAAAGTTAGGGAACAGAGAGGGGCGGTGTTGGGAGGAGCTGGCAGTTGCAAGGGGAGTGTAGAGAGGGCCACTCAGAGGAGGTGAATGCGAGGAGGGAGCCAGAGTAGGGCTGGCCCTCTGGGGAAGGGCATTCTGGGTAGAGGGAACAGCAAGTGCAAAGGCCCTGAGGTCAATGCTCTTGGGCGGGTTCAAGGAAGCACAGGAAGGCAGCTGTGACTGGAACAGAATAGCAAGGGAGTGGAAGGCGGGCCGGGCAGAGCAACCGCGGCACATCGGAGCACGCAGACAGCGAAGGGAGGGGCAGCCACAGCACGCGCAGAGCAGGGTGCAGCGCGACATCCCTTGTCTAACCGCCTTGATCGTTTTCTCACTTGAGCGTGCAGGTGAGGAGGAACAGGCGAAATTCAGCAGAAAGAGGTCTTGCCTGTATGGTGCCACCAGCCATCTTGCTAGTTACCAATTAACCACGTCCCCCTAGCCAAGAAGGCTGCCAGAGCCCCATCTGCCCTGCCCTGCTCTTTCTAGTCTAACTCTCCTGCCTTTAGCCCTGTAGACCAGCGGTTCTCTCTGGGGGTGACTCTGCTCTTCCCTTTTCCCAAGGAAGAGCTGAATTTGGCCTAGTGCTCCTGGTGGTGACTCGGCCGGGCAACTGCCTTCCTCAGTCAGCATCCTCTGCTGCCTCAAGGACTGCTGTGGAGCCAATGGCGCAGCAAGGGGAAGGGCTCAGAGACAACCACAAGGGGGGCAGGGGACCCCTGTCCATCGCCAGCTATCGTGGCTTCCTCTGCTGCCACAACACAAGGCAGAGAAGTGTCTCGGGTGAAATCCCAGGCAGAGTGTAAGCAAGCCCTTTGCTCAGGATGCAGCTAAAGGAAATGAGTGATTGTCGGGGCACGTGCTGTGGCCAGCCCTGGGCCTGGCTCCGCACCAAAGCCTTAACGTACCAGCTCGCTAACTCCCACAATCGCCCCTGGGAGGTCAGAGTTACGAGGAAAACATTCCAGTTGAGAAAACTGAGTTCAGAGAGGGGAAGAGACTTTCCTGAGGCCACCCAGCTTTCCTGGGGCAGTACCAGGCCCGTGGCTCCAGGCTCTATGTTCTTAGCCATCAAATCATGGGTGAGACATAGTCACGGAAGCCCAAGATCTGCCTAGAAGAGCCACTTGGCCACCCCCAGGAAGATCCCTCTGCAGATACGTCTCCCCAGGACGGACGCTCACAGACCGTCCCTGATAGCACTACTTAGGAGCGAGGATGTCATGGAAGCCTAGCAACTCGGAGTTGGAAGAGGCCAAAGCCATCAGTCTGCGAGCTCCTTTCTCATTAGACAGACCGAGAAACTGAGGCTCGGAGGAAGAGTGGAATTTGTCTAAAATGGCTTAGCAAGTCATGGGCAAGCCCTGATCATTTCTCGAGGGTCTAGACCTACCAGAAGACCACAGTTCCAGGCCTCTCCTGATCAGAGGACCCAGAAGGGCCTTGACTATTGCCATGAACACCCAGTTTCTCCTGGCTGCCCAGAAACAGCAGACCAAGCACAGCCTACGTGGAAGGTGGAGTCTGGGAGAGGCTTGTGTTCCTGGAAGCACCTTCTCAGTGTTTACCAAGCTGGACCAGCAAATAGCTTCAAATGACAGGACCCAGGACCAGGAAGGGCCTAAGCCTTCATCTTCTCCAGGGCCCCAGCAATTACAGAGCAGCCGCTGACCGCAAGGTGCACCCTCAGACAGTGATTTCCCCGTTTGTGATCAGCGCTTGATAGTACAGGGGAGGGGGGGTGCTTCAGGGGAGCTCCAGGGACCTCGCTGTCTGCAAGGGGCCCCTGGCCGCCCAGCAGGCGGGTCTCCACAGGACCTGTGTTTATAATAGAGCTGGGCTATATTTTGGTTTGGGAGCCAGATTAATCATTGCTTACAATGCGCAGGGAGAAACCAGACATCACCTCACTGTTGCTACAGACAGTCTCCCCGTCCGGCGGGGATGCTGTTTGGGCTTTGGGGGGAAGGGAGGTCCTGTCCTTGCCTGGGGGTCCTAGGGACGAGTGTGTGCTTAGGCTGCAGCTATTCACCCAGGCTTCATCTCAGCCTGTAGGTAGCCTCGGCATCCCTCGTAGCAGTAAAATAAGACTCACCGAACTTGCTTAGCACACCCACGACTTCCCACTGGACTCGCCTACCACCTTGGAAGCCCACACCTCACACTGGGCTATCTGCAGGGCAGAATCGAAGAGGGGAAACACATGCCAAGGGGTAGACAGACGTATTGCATGATACTGGACAAGTGTCTGCACCCGCCTGGGCCTCAGTTTCCCCACTGACATCTCAGAGCATCTTGTGGGCTCAGATTGTAGGACTCTGAAATCTGTAACTAGTCTCAAAGCACCGTCCATCATGGCTGGTGAAGTTCTGACATGACACCAAACTCCACTCAGGGGATGCCTGAGACAGGGCAGGGCAGGGAGGTGTCTGCAGGACTCATTCATTGATTCAGTT